AACAGTTTACCACCCAAACTAACATTCTCTTCACTGGAAAACACTGGTTATAGGATTTGGAAAGCATTTGATAAGACATGTTCAGCAGAAAAAATGCTGGAGACATTTACACTCTTGAAAAGTCAACCTGTAAATACTATACCCATAACCAGAAAAAATTCCGAAGTTCTCTATGAAAAAATATCCTGCATGAGCTGTAACAGAATATGTACTTCATTAAAAATCTGTAAGGCTTTCTGCACTCTCTGTAAAAATACAGAATTTCAGATGTCCCTATTCTCCATGTACTTACTCATTCTAAAAGTGTACTTAGTCATGAGAACGCAAATTACAAATTCAAAGAGAAAAGCAAAGAATGTCTGTCTTTCAGATATGGTACCTACATTTGCATCAGTCCTCAGCCCACCCCTTTCTTAGATTATGACACCTCCTTTCAAAAACTGAAGAGGACATTCCTTAATTTAATGTTCAGGTAATGCACTCTTCATAATGATCATTGTATTGACTATGAGAATGAGCAAATTGTTTTGGCTGTTCAGACATTTTAAGTGTTCTATAAGGATAAAATTATCCTTCGTCTTCACTCCATGCTCCCATCCCAACCCAACTATTAAGCTAGGATTTTGTTTTCTTAGTCCTTTTATAAACCTGTTCTCATCCACACCATGGCAAGGGAAGCTACATTCCAGTGGTAAAACAGTACTACTTTGAATAGAGCCAAGGAGTTCAAGGAGGTAGCTAAAAGTTTTTATCTCAGATGTAAATGTAAACATCTAAGCTCTGCTGGTGACCAATAGGGTGATCTGAAAGGATGAGCAATGTCATTGCGCAAGATTATTTTTATTTTAGATTTCCAGTTTGAAGCTTTTAAGCATAAACGCATTTTAAGTTAGGTAATATTGGTACATCTTCACTTTCTGCATGTGTTCTCCAATCAGCTGTTCAGATTGCCTTTTCTGTGGCACTTTCATCTCATTCAAGGCACAAATCCTCTTCTAGGAATAAATCAGAAATGTGCAGAACATATGTAGACTAACCAGGGACATAAAGATACTGATCTCATCTCTGTTAGCAATGGCTTCACAGTGCCCATAGTCAAGACTATCTATGTCTGCTGCAGATGGAAGTTGTTGCATGTAAGATTCCAGTTTCAAGTGTTGCAGAACTAGAAAGGCGGGTGGTGAAAGTGTCAAGAGAAGGCACAAAGAGAAGAGCAGGTCCTGTAGATAAAATGTGCATTCTGTCCCATGTAATTTAGTCCTAATTCTGTTGTAAAACTTCTGTTTGATACTAAGCAAGCCATTAAAACATAGTCAAGCGTGGATTCTAAATATAACTTTGGAAAGCCAATTCAAGATACTGGGTATCCAGCTAGAGGTACAAAAGCATCTAGTATTTACACCTGTAACAAATATCAATAAAAATGCTACCTTAAAAATAAAATATACTATATTCTATTAGGTTTTTAAATCTAGGCCTCTTTAATGGAATGGCAGAAGTCAGTGGACAATTCTGATAATATTTGCTGTAATTTCAAGTCTTAGTTCTACATGGGAAGAGAATGGAAAACAAAACCCCCCTTATTTAATGGGCATATTGCAAAGAAAAAAATATTGGTCCTTAAAAATGGCTACATTTAGTCTATCATTGAAGTCAACAAGGAAACAGTAGTGTTTCACAGAAGTAACATTCTTTGAAAGCAAAAATTTGGGGAAAGAAACTGTCCTTATCAATATAGAACTAGATATCATAATGTCAGTCTGAAAAATCAACAAGAATTGCTAAGAATATTACTCTAAATATTGCCATTTCTTTCTACAGTTATTTACACTTGATTGTGTTACTGTCTTAATCTAATCTAGAATCAATGCTTTTCAGATCGATAGAAGGAATGTTTCAGTAAAGAAGTAGAAGGTCCTCTCTCCCAGACCTTCATGGAAAAAATCCTGTTCAACAGTTGTTCCTTCAAGTGATCCCACTTTCCTCTGTGTGTTGAAAACTAAACCCTTTTTTTCTGCCTGAAATGTTGTCTCTTGAAACTGCACCCACTACAAAACGGGAAACGTAACTCTCAGCTCAGGAGTGCTGGAAGTACAGATTGCAAGAAATACTTTTTTCTATAATTTCTGTTTCTCCATTTTAACTTAAACATCTCAGACCACTTAGATGACAACAGACTGAGATGGAGATGAAGAAGAGGTGAGGAAACTAAGAGAGACAGAATTTACAGAGAATAACAAATTACAAGGATGAACTACACCCCAGAACTTGAGGGCAAATGAGCAGAGGATCAAAATAGGAGAGAAAATATATTAGGTCCAAAGGGATATTTTGACCTGAACTGTCATCGTAATTTGGCCATTACAGAGTTTTAAACCATCCAGTTGTCTTAGATCAAGAAAACCTGGGTAGGATAAATCTCAACTTTCTCTGAGCAATTGCAGAATAGGTGAAATAATTCCAATCAGTAAAAAAAAAAGTCAATACAATAAATCAAATTTAGACTTTGATTTAGCTGACTGGACATAGGCATCTACATTCATATGAGATGAAGCATGCTGGGAATTCCACCAACGATTCTGACTATCTTTCCTTTAACTGTGAAAAAGTGTATGGGATGATTGGAGCGGATGTTAATGACTACAGCACAGACCATCCCTTTTAGCCATATCAATTCCTGCCTTTTGAAATCCTTTAGCTAATCACTGGCTCTATCTCAATTACTAAATGCTTCCTTTCTAAGCCTTATGCCCAAATACTAAAAGCCAGAATCACCTTAATATAACCAAACAAAAGTTACTGATAGTCACTTTATTATCAAGAGTTACGATCTTCTGCATAAATCCCTGCACAGCAAGTATGTCTGTGATCCCTCCTTAGAGCAAATCCTAGAGATGTAGACCCATTCCCATCCAATACAGATCTCCATGATATTTTCAATACTGTAAACTCTCAGCTAGCTGTGACCTAACACCACAACTACTTCAAATTCAGCTGTTCCACCATCTATGAAGATCTTTATAGACATTCCAGTGGCACACAATGAGGTCAAAATTGAGTTGACCTTTCAAATGAACTTGATTCCATGATATGTACTTCGCCCATAAATTAGAACATTCTTTATTCAGCTAAACAGAAGAGCAATTGTCCTCCTGACTTTACCAGGAGTGCCACTAAGGCAATTGTCTTCTTCAAACTGGAAGCTCTGTATGCACATCATAAAACTTCCTGTCTGGCTGACAGTTCTTTCTCAAGGTGGATGAACCGAGGCTGTTTAACCACCTCTGAAAACATTTGCTGCCACTGTCAGAACTCAAACTGGCCCGGCTTTCCAGTCTTCCTAGACTGCTCCATTACTGCATGCCATACAACTTCTCTTCTGGAAATATTTATATGCAATGTTAGGAAAGTCATTTTAGGAAGCTGGCAGCAACAAAGCCGTTTGTTGGTTTCAACAAACAAAATATTGTTGAAATTTGAAGCGTCCTGCTCCAGTGAGGACTATATGAAACACCTTAAGGAATAAGAAAGAAACAATGATTTTGACAATTCATCATGCAACATTTGGGCAACTTGATTTATCTTCTAGAGAAAGCAAGATGAGAGCAAGCTAACATGGAAACTTGTGTAGCAAAATGAAACTGCAAAAACCGCTAACAAAAACCTGTTTCCTCTCAGATGCTTGAACCATAGCACTATCACATGATATTTTTGAATAGTGTGATTGATTCTCCTGAAAAGTCTTATCAAGCAACAAGGACAAAAGGCTAGAATGGAAGGCAAAAAAGTATTAATGACAATGCAAGCAATGAATATGTGTAAAAGAAAAAATTCTTTCACTGAAGATGAATTGTGGAGCGTGGTCAGAACACTAAAAACTAGTGTTAACTGAGCTTTGGCTCTTTCCTTGAAATACTGAAAATGGAGAAGAACTGATGAATAGTATTTCTTCTGAATCATCCAAAAAATCAAAATTCCTAAGACCTAGTTTACTGCAATGGTGAGACCCTTAGTTCAGATTAAGATGTTCTATTTTTATGCCTTTGCAAAGCAAAGGAACATCTTCAGCAACCACTGCTGCCGTTGCTTTGCTATTGTGTGACTACTGATTACCTTCAAAGACTGTCCTTCAAAGGGAGGCTACAAAAACAGTGTCACTACGCTGCGTACAGCTCAAAAAATGATTTGGCCCACCTCTTAGGAATGGTGATTAAACGCTCATGTCCAGAAGGCAGTCACAGAGATATTACATCTTATCCACCTTAATTTTGTATGTAGGCCCATCCTTCCACCAGTGATCCTGTTACTGTCTCTGAATGACCTCCTCTTTCACCACTTTAGATTAAGCCCTTAAAGATATCAAGGAGTAGATGAAAAACCTTTTTGTAGGCTACTTAGAAGATTAGGAAAGTATGAAAGTTCCTAGATGTTTTATCTGCATGAATGATGTCCGACTCAAAGTCCAGTACAGAATTTCACTTATCCAGATGAAGGATGTTGACCTTGGAGACATTGTCGTCATAAACAATGGGCAGATTAATCAAGTCTGAGAAAGGAATCTCCAACTCCGTCTACATAAATCACCCAAAGCCCATAAATGGACCAGCGTTTACAGAATGAGTATCTGCTGGACAATGGTCCAAAAGTTGTCCACCAAAGTAGAGCATTTGGGAACATTTTTTCAGAAAGACCTTTGAAAGGCTTTGAAAAAAAAAAAAAAACAACCAAAAATTTTGGTCATAAATGAGTTGACTCAATGGCTTGGTTGATTACACAAACGTGACAAACTGCGTCAACCCGCGCTGTTCTATGGCAGAGCATGGCTCCCTGGTGTGGCATGGAATAGGAAACACTCCATGGAACAAACACTGCGGTACGAGAGAACACAGAGTTTAGCATTCCTGTCCTGACACTGGTTTTGTCCCACCCTTCAGCCCTTTTGAGATCAGAAACTATGCCTTGAAGAATTTTCTCTAGAAGAAGTAATGCCTTACATGTACCTTTGCATAATAAAGCCTTTCATTCATCAAGCTAATGGCTTGTTGCACAGCACCTCATGTGAGGCACCCCCAGATGACACACGAGGTGACAGGAACAGGTTGCGGGGTGTAACTAGCGATGGACTCATAAGCAAGTCAACAGTTGACTTTCTGTTGGCCCATCATCCCGCGGAGGCCTTGGCGGGGCCTTCCCGGCTTGGCAAACACGGTCAGCCGGGAGATGGAAGGCACATATCCGGTGTTGGCAGCCACCGTCGAGGGCCGCTTAGTTTCTTTTACGGCAAAGGCATCCAACCAAGGAAGTTTGGACGGGGAAGAAGCGCGTGCAGACGCGTTATGTACGGCACCACCACAGGGCGATGGAGCGGGCGATGGTGGAGCCCGCGGGGGAGCGGAGCCCGGAGGGTC